CGGAATTCGAAAAAAAAAAGTCGGAATTTAAAAAAAAAAGTCGGAATTCGAAAAAAAAAGTCGGAATTAAAAAAAAAAGTCGGAATTTAAAAAAAAAAGAAGCAGATAAATCTATGGCCCTTATGGGGCTCCGTAGCAGAAAGTGTTAGGGAAAGTTTCAAGGTTGATGTTTTTAATATTGCTGGAAAGGAAGATAAAGAAAGGTTTTCTCAAAGTCAAGAATTACGAAGCTGTACTCTTTGATCAGAAAAGGTCGAAAGGTTTTATGCGATGTATTTTGCAAGTGTTGTATCCATAGCATCAGAGTATTTTCCGCAGTTACCTTTCCAGTCCTCAGTTTTGCATGCTACCAGGTTGGCTGATAAAAGAATGCATCCTTTAAGAAAGATTCTAATTGTAGTAAAGTGACATCAGAACATAAATCTACTGTATGGAAAAAGCAGCATTGCAATACCTCGGTGGATATGTTCTATGTATACTCTACACTAACATATACTGGCTGTACTCCAAGCTGGAAAACAAACAACGATTGTGAAACAGCACAGAGAGGGGGGCTGTGGAAAATAAACCGAACTGTATAACAAATTTTTACTATAGCAGGAATTAACTTTAAAATTGTTATAACTGAGTCTGAGGAACCCATCACAAAGATATGAAAAACAGACATTGTTGATGATCTGGAAAAAGGTCCTAAGGTAAACAGTCTTTTCCAGGAGTGGGTAAGGTCTGCTGATTTTAAAAGTATCTAAAGAGGTGTCCAAAGACATTTTACACTAAGTCTTATTACTCTATATCAAAGTGAGATCATACAGGCCAAACAGAAGAGTTCAAAGGCATTAAGAAAAGAAATAAAAAATATTTCAGATGAACCTTCAATTAATTAATGAAAACATGTAATGTACTTGTCAATTGTAACCTGAATTGGGGGCATATATTTTAATATATCCATACTTAACTGTTGCCTGACCCCCTAAGGCAGGCTGACCTCACCAATCTTGTCAAATCCCCCAACCCATGAGGGCAAGATTTAAGAAAAAAATCAAAAATTTTATTGAACAAAGAACATTTTTGTAGTAAACTATTTTGTCACCACAGAGAAACAAACAGAATATAGAACTTTATACAAACAAAGAATAGCACTAACCTGGCTCCTCATATTTAGGTCAGGCACAGACTCAACAAGACAATCCTAGCCTGCGAGCAGGCTGCATTCGATGGCCCCACATACCAGGGTCGGGGGTCCATAACAGGAAAATCCCCCATTGTGTCAGGCGTAACTAAGTTTTAAAAGAGGAAAAACACCCCACATGTCCCCACCTTTCCCCCTGGGTCAGGATTACAATTGAAAAGTGCATAAGATTGACAAATTAAACATACATGTAATTATGAACTGTACTGTTCTGTATTTAAATTTGACAACAAAAACAACCAGTAATATATGTTACAAAAATCAAGTTGAGAATATTGTAAAACATAACTATGAAGCAGAACTGTAGAAGTATTATAGATAACTTTTTTTTAGTAAAAGCAGTTATACTATACTCCAGAAGACAAACACTACAGTAAAATCCTGCAGTCTGAAACTTGTATTTTACTCTTAGAAACCCATTTTCATCAGGAAAATTGAAATTTGGAAAATGTTCTAATAATGGTTATGTAAGTGATTTTTACATGCTGGATTTTACTGCGCTAGGCCTAATTGGTAACCTTTTTCGTTTACGCCTGGGTAGTGGTTCATATGAATGTCATAAGTTGGAATACGAATAATATATGGGACATCTACTTTCCATATTCGAACAACATATTCCGTACAGGTTACTCCAGTCATGTAATGCAATTTTTTACCCGCAAGTTCCTTAAGATTATTATAACAAGTTGTTGTGGAAGCTGATAATCTGTCCTGTACAAGACGTACAATGGATCGATGCTCTTTTTCTGGCTTCGCAATAAAGGAGTCGGATGACTTGGTTGGTATAAATTTTAGGTACGCAATGCTCCATGGACAAGCTGCTTCTTGGTCAGCTTTGAGCCGTGATCTGAAAATGAAAAGTTACAATAAAATATAAATTTCTATTCAAAATGTGTTAATTAAGGCGGTTTTCCACTAGGCGAAATTTTTCGACCGAATCGAAATTTTCTTTTGTCCTACGAGCACTCAGATGGAACTATAAAACAGAAATCTTTTGAATTTGAGCAATAGAAATTTCGGTTCGATCGAAAAATTTCGCCTAGTGGAAATCGACAGATCTATTGCAGATCGACAGAAGCTCACGAAGCTCACGAAGTCACGATCAGAGAATTAGCATTAAAAACCGACAAGCATTATATATTGCATGAGATGCTTAAATGGGAATACGATACCACAAATATACGCCACAGGTTTTTATAACAAAATTGCTACTACGATGTATCATATTTATACTTCTAATTGACTTAGGGACGGACCATTTGATTTTTCATGGGGGGTGGGGGGCGCATTTTTGAGAGTGCTCGATTTTTTTTTGGACCTCGCCGACTCCGCACGATTATTTTTTATCGATTCTTGCCGCGTGCACGATATTTTTTTTAAATTTTTACTATAGCGTTAATACAATAATAACCACGTATGGTTATATTCTGGCTGAAGAATGTATTTGAATATACAGCATATAACCACAAAATAGGAAAGTATAGCAGAAGTGTAACCCACGAAAATTTTAACTCGCTCACGTCATCCTGGCTAGAACAGCCGGAAGTTTTTATCAGGTTTTGGTAGGTACAAAGTGCAGGTTGCACTAGCCAGGATGGCGTGATTGATGACGAATCGCTTGTAAAAACGCGAACAAATACTTGCTTGAGTGAGACGTCTGGTATACCTTCCTATTCTATGATATAACTATCACAGCCCATTTTATACTTGGCCAATTTTATACTTGGCCCATTTTATACGGGGCTATGGTCTACGAAATGTAGACCATAGCCCCGATCAAAATTGGATCAAGTGTATTACAGTGTGTAACCCATTTTGCATTGGCGTAATGGCATCTATATACAAATTCTCACGGTTCCCAATCGTATCAGTGTTCCCAATACGTATTATAAACTGCAATTTTTATTCAGAATCAGAGAGCGATATTAATGAGGGTGGGAAAGGGTATTTTTGTGAGCCGTGAATGCAGTGGCGTAGCCAGACTATAATTTATTTTTTTTGGGGGGGGGCATATATCGAACACCGAAGGTGTAAGCCTTTTCAGGGGGGTTCGGGGCCATTCTCCCCCGGAAAAATTTGAAATCTGGAGTCCCTCAATGGCGATTTCCCGTGTTTCTGGGGAGAGATTTTGCATAATTCTGAAGATTATTTACTGCAGGAAAGACCTCATTATTAATGATTTCTCAATAATGTGGATCCTTAATTTGACTCAACGAAGCTTACTTGGTCGCGTGTAAATAGTTAAATTGAAGTTTTAAAACGCATTTTAACCAATAACCACCATAGGCATTATTTTCTGTAGTTAGATTTAGTGAAAGATTAGAACTTTTATAGACAATTTGGTGAACAGATGAGATTGCTAGTCCCATGGGTAGTCATCGTCCCCCCCCCCTAATTTCTACCCGGATTTCATCTTTTTACAAGGGCAGTCCTTCAGCCTATTGGGGGGGGGGGGCTGAGACCCCCTTGCCCCCCCCCCTTGTCTACGCCACTGCGTGAATGGTCAATATTTGATCGTGTGAAATGCTTGATTTTAGTGTCGTGAAATGTGATTTGTTCTACAGCCGTGAGGCGTGATTGTCGATAAAAATGCTCCGTGAAATGGGAATTAACGATGTCTGTTTCGTGAGCTGTGATTTTGATTTGTTTATTCCGATCTATTTTATAATAGTCATAATGGACATAATACGCGATAATAATTTATATGATCGATCTCACTCGATTGCACAAGAGTAGAAACTTCGGAGGCCTTTCGAGGTCGTCGGACGTACTCATCACTCAAACTTGTAAGTAGTTTTTAACTGCCAGGCAGAGAAGAGAACTTAAAGCGTAGTACTGTACCATGCATTAAACATAATCTTAAAGCTATTATTATTATATTATTTTTATTAGAGTCTCTTTATCCGTGAAATGTGAAATTGCTTTTTTATGGCACGTGAATTGTGAAACTTTTTTTTTGTTGTGAAACGTGAATCATACCCCTCCCCCCCTTTCCCACCCTCATTAATCGATGTCGTATTTACAGAAGTGTGGGACTTTCAGTGTTAAGATTGGGGTTTTTAGGGATACCATTAAGGTAATTTGTGGATAATTGAATTATTGAAGTCAAAGTTGTCAGAACTGGTTTGTATCGGTTTGCATTTTGCATGTATACTTCCGGTATTGTTAACCAAGGCAGAACCGAAACACTCAACAGAAAAAAAAACTCAGGGAAACTGAATTTTCTTTCAATATAGAATATTGCTAATTTAGAATTTTTTTGTGCTCGATATTTTTTTGAATCAACAGCCAACTGCCTTTTAAAATCTTTGTCTTCAAACTCGATATTTGGTAACGATGTTCAGAAAATCCATAGTGAAAACCCTGCCGCCATTTCTTGCTCAAATCTTCCTTCGCCGTTGGAAGCTTGAATAGCTCGATTTCTTTTGTTCGTCGGTTTGTCCCGCATTGATTTAATGCACAATTGTCACCCGGCATCAATAAAAATTAAAATTTTCCTCATTTTAATTGCAAATTTGTGTATAGTTTGTATCAGGCTTCAGTTTGTATATTGAAAATGCTTGAAAACACATGCGGATGTGCACGGTGATGATGACGTCACGGCACAAATTCTCGACAAAAGGATAATGCCGACAGATAGATAGATAGATCAACTTTATTTAAACACATTGGCCTTTTCAGCAAAAGCTGATTTCCAAAAGGGATGTGTACTTACAAATTATTATTTATATACTAGCTCTAATATTACATACATAACAAATACAATTATATACCTATTTAGACAAAAAATTAACTACTACTTTAAGTCGAGATTAAGGTCGAGGAAGATAGCTTTTTACAGAACGAATTATACGATACCGAATTGCGTATCTCTTCAGGTATCTGATTCCATAGTTTAGCCCCACTATATTGGAAGCTTTTTTTAAGGATTCCGTTTTTGGTCTTGGAATATAAAACCTTGTTGAAGAACCTCTCAGATTATGGTCATGAATGGTATTCAGATTTTGGAAAGCTTCACATAGTCGTTGGGGGGCTAAACCATTAACTGTCTTGTACATGAGCCTGGCTTTCATTTGTGCCCTACGCTCTTCAAGTGTTACCCAGCCTAGAGATTTTCGTGCCAAAATAGACTGACCATGTTCATTTTTTAAGTTCATGATCAACCTAGTCGCTCTGTTTTGGAATTTCTGTAGACGTTCACTTAGGCCTTTATTAAGTGTATCCCATACTTCACAGCAATAATCAAAATAAGGTTGGATTAAGGCATTATAAACTTTTATCAAAATGTCTTGTTCGACATACTCCCTCATTTTTCTAATGGCCACAATACCTGATGATATTTTACTGCTAATATGGTTAATGTGTTTTTCCCAACTCAAGTTTTCGTCTAATTCAACTCCAAGAGCTTTGGTATTTTAACTTTTTTAATCAATTGATTATTTATTTTAACTCCTTGATGGGTATCAATATTACTTATTTTATGTCGTGTTCCAATTAAAACATACTCGGTTTTCGGTATATTTAGACTTAGTTTATTTGCACAAAGCCATTTCTGAACATTCCTCATGTCTACGTTCGCCCTCTCTTCCGCCTCACTAATTGTTCTGCCTACTGCCATTAAGTTAGTATCATCAGCAAACATTCTTGGAGTTGTGCGTTCTAGGCAGCTTGGCAAATCATTTATATACATAATAAATAAGAGAGGGCCGAGTATACTTCCCTGAGGAATGCCACAAATGATTTCTTTCTCCACCGAGAGTATACTGGCCAATTGACAACTTTGAGTTCGGTGCGTCAAATAGCAACGTAAAAGATTTAATGCTTTCCTTTGGAAACCATACATTTCAAACTTACTTAACAGTATTTCGTGGTCGACTGTATCGAATGCTTTTTTAGGTCAAGAAAAACAACTAAGTTATACAGCCCACGGTCCATGTTGGTATACCATTCGTTCGTACAATCCAATAATGTAGTAGTTGTGGAATGATAAGGTCTGAAACCAAATTGGTGTTTTGAGAAAAAATTATTCTGGTTAAGATACTCATACATTTGATCATACATAATTCTTTCCATAAGTTTACTTACTACAGGAAGGATTGATATCGGTCTATAGTTGTCCAACATGGACCGCTGACCTTTCTTAAACAATGGAATAACCCTTGCAGCTTTCCAATCAGAAGGAAATTGATCCGAGTCAATTGACATATTAAAAATCTCAGTAAGAGAAGGTGCATAACTGGAGCTGCTACTTGTAGAATTTTAGCTGAAATTTTATCCATTCCAGTCGCTTTGGTGGTAGACAAATTAACTAGAAGAGTGTAAACCAATGTTACACTCACTGGTCGAAATGAAAAACTGTTCTTTAATTGTCTTAGATTTTTGTTGAGTAATAAAATCTCGAAAACTAACGTCATTGTCATTTGGAATAGACTCAGCAAGCTTTGGGCCAATATTACTAAAATGATCATTAAAAATGTCGACTAATTCGTCGGTCGATGTAACAGTTTTACCTGGAAGTTTGATTTCATTAATCGTAGTCTGTTTTCTGTTTTGACCTAATATATCGTTTATTGTTCTCCAAGTATATTTAGGATTCTGTTTATTATTTGTAAATTTGTTTGCATAATAATCTCTTTTAGCACTACGCAAAGCAGTGTTGGCAACATTTCTAGTTGACTTATATAGTCTCCAGTCTTCTTCTTTTTTTGTCTTTATTGCTTTTACGCTTAAGAGCATCTCTTTTAAATAATTTTTCCTTTACTTCCCGGCTTACCCAAGGAATATTGCCCCCTTTTCTTAATCTTTTTACTCTCACAGGGGCATGTTTATCCAGCACATCTACAAAAAATGTTTTCCATAACCGCCACATTTCATCTACATTTCTTTTAAATCTTATTTCTTCCCAGGGTATATTTTGTAAGTCATATAGAAAGCCTGAAACATTGAAATTCTTAAAATTTCTATACTCGACAGAACCTTGTAAATCAGATTTTATTCTTGTACTTATTTTCCGAATACTATAAATGAGGCTGTGATCACTAATTCCGAGATGGACTACACCTGAAAAAATTATTTTTTCAGGCATTGACGCAATTACTACATCCAATAATGATTGGCTAGACTGGGTAATACGCGTAGGGTTATTAATTAATTGTGTAAGCTGATATAATTCCAAAACGTCTTGAAGCTTTCTAGTGGTGGACAAAGTTGGTTCTAGCATATTACAATTTAAATCTCCCAAAATATAAAATTCTATATTTTCATCATCAATTGATTTGATTAGCCTCTCAATTTTTATAAACACTTCACTAGCGGAACATGGTGGTCTATAAATACTTGAAACTATAAAAGATTGACTATTAGCCTGCTTAATTTCCACACAGACAGCTTCAAGGTCTGTTGGAACTAGATCAGGGCGATTTTCATAATTTATATGGCGTCTTATATAAATACATACCCCTCCTCCATTTCTATTCCGATCAGCACGTAGCAAGTCATAACCTTCAATGCTAACAATCCCATCGGAAATAGTGGAGTCCAAACGGGTTTCATTAACTGCTAAAACATCTAAATATTTATCGTGAAGTAATAATCGGATTTCATCAAGGTGTTTCGGAAGGCTAACTACATTAAGAATAGCCATCTTAAAACCCCTTGTTTTCGGAATATTTAAACAGGCATCATTAGCACTCCTCCTCGACCCGTCCTCATTTCAATTATGCGAACTTAAGAAATGTGAAAAGTTTGCCTGAAGCAAAGAGCTACCTTCTCGGTTTAAATGCAGTCCTCTACTATTTAAATGAGAGCGACTAATATTACTATTGTCTAAAAATGCAAGCTTTTTCTTCAAGCAGCTTGACTTTAATATATTGTTAGTTTCATTTACCTTCGTTGTAAGTTCCTCTCTATCGCATCTAGTGACTAAAGAAGAGATGATGACTTCAGTATCATTGCAATCCTTTTTAAAATTCTCTGCTAACTCGATAATTTTCTTTGCAATTTCTTTAGGACTTGAATAGCGTATGTCGTTTGTGCCTGCATGGATACTGAGCTTATCGGGTTGCTTTCGTGCAGTGGGCTTTAAGAAATCAGACATATCATTAACTGTTGCACCTGAGAAAGACTTAACTATTACGTTTCTGTCAGTGTTGGATACTTCCCAACCTTTTACATATTTTATAATCGAATCTCCAGCTATAACGACCGTTTCTTTAGTGCGTTGTCTTTCTGCTGTTATTTCCTCACTTGCCTTATGCGCTTCTCTCGTTTGCTCGTTTTCCTTTGCCTTTTGTTCGTTATTCTTCCCCTTTTGTTTCTTATTCTTATTCTTCTTTTGTTCCTGGTTAATCTGCTGTGACCTCTGCTTGTTGGCTTTCGATTGAGCAGCTTTGTCATCAGATTCGCTCATTTGATTCTTACCAAAGCCCTTTTGTTGAAGGCTTAATTTCTCTTTTGTTTTTGTCGTGTTAGGAATTTCAGCAACACAGCCATGTTTTGGATCTTTGGGTCGTTCTTTGCCAGTGTCCTGGATTTCTTTATTCTGGGGAGCCTGTGTAGACTTTAAGATGACGCTGTCGTCCTCACTAGCTTCACTGTTGTCGATATCATCACTCAAGACAATATATTGATTTTTTATCCGAGTTTCACCATCTTTGTCCCTGATGTCACCACTGGGACCAATTGTAGAATAATTCTTTGAGGAACCACGGCCAATCTGAGACCTTTCTCCAGACCATCCCCTTGAGTGACTATGTAATAATCAAAGCCATACTTATTTTTTTATGATTTTTTGTCTATTTTCGCTAAATACACAACCTGAGACCCTGACATTAATGTACCTGAGTAGTCTTAATGCCAATGAAGAGCAAAGGGTGCATGTAATAACCGCTTTTTGTTTTTGCTAAAATACTTAATTTCTAGAATATATCACAAAAGATGAAATTGAACACAACTGAACGCATAATTATAGTCAATTTTTCCACTTGTGGAAGAGTTATTTTCCCACTGATATCGTAATTCTTCTCGTTAAAAATTTCCATTCCTACTTGTAGATCGGATAAATATTTGCAAACGGTTTATTAAGTTAAATAAATACGTCACTATAGACCTAGAGATATGTCCGAATAAGGCCTAGTCCAGTCCCAGACACTCTTCAGGCCGAGGAGGGAGAAATTTCTCCGTATTTTTGGCAGAAAATTTGTTGATGCCGTTAAGTTTGCCATGGAAATGTGTAAATATTTTTTTGTGCCAAAGTTTGAGCAATAGCTGTTATCGTAATTGAATACGTCTATGCTACGGATCAGCGGTATCTGCATTATTTTAACATCAAGACGAGGCTATAGGGTCATGTTTTGTGTTTTCTTTACCCTTTAGCCTCGTTTTCGTGCGTACTTCCATTGAGATACCGCTGGTTCGCCGCAGTGGCGTATTCAATTACGATAACAGCTATTACAAGTGATCTATTACCTGTCCCGCGGTAAAGATGTATTCGTCGTTGCTTTACACGCTCTAGATCTTTCCATAATGTTTGCGATGCTTTGTGATCATCACCTGACAACGATTGCCTGTCATCTGTTGTTGTTTTGATTTCACCACTGATTTTCCTCATGGATGATCATGCAGATGGCTAAAATGGCCGAAACGAGGAATACCTATATATAATATCAAACTCACCGATCCTAATTATCGTGCTGTAATTGACAAGTTTATACTTTCTAATTATAACAATAGTATTTGCGACTTGACAGCAATATTTTAAACACCGACTTCAGTTACGTAGTTGCATATTTCTCCGGCAAAAGGATGGGCTTTTTGCTAATATTGCCGTTTTGCATGTTTCTTAAAGTAGTCGCAACGCATGGAACACAAATGTTCGGGTCAACATTTAAATATCTTTGTCGTTGGAAAACTGCAATGTCTGGCTGAAAATCGACTAATTTCTTTCGTCAACACGCGTTGTTTTCGATGGTGGATATCTAATCGAATTTGGCGAGGCTTGTCTCTCGGGGGCTCAATATTTTCTTTATAACGTTTAATTTTCTACGGCCCTATTTGCATTATTTCTGCAATTTCTGCAGCAACGGCGAGACAGTCCAGTTCAGGCTCATCTCGTCTGATCAGGGGCGTAGGAAACTTCTAAAAGTTGGGGGGCAGGCTTTGAGGGGCACTTTTCGAAAAAAAGGGCATCTAAAATTTTTCCCTGAAATGTTGGCGACGGGGGGGGGGCAGGTCATCTCAAATCAATTTTTTGGACATACCTAAAAAAAATTTCCGGATATACCCTAAATACTAAATAAAAATTTTTCTGGACATACCAAAAAATTTTCCGGATATATTATATTTTTCTCGGAATGTATATTCGACTCGAACTTCATTTTATATTTCTTTGAGCTTTTTACGTTCTTGCGCGCGTTTGAACAGCTGTAAGGTTTTCCCTATTCCGGAAGTCAATCGCGAGCGTTTTGATTGGACAAGTTGACGCATGCGCATGCAAATTCTGCTGGACCCTCCTTCTAAGAGGGTCTGGGACCGGACTAAATAAGGCCCCGTTTACGTGAGACCGCTGGACGAAGTCAAACTGGACAGAAAATTGAAATTATCAACATGTTTACATGCATGAGACACCGGTACGAGAATCATAAAATTTTCAATTTATTCCCCTTGCCGGGCAATTTTATTTTGTAGATGGCTTTTGTTGGTATGTGTTGTTCCAATGTCAAGGTTACAGTCGAGACCGGTCTGAAATGTATTTTTGTTTACATTCATCCCGGTCTGAATTCATGCCGGTCTGAAGACAGTCAGCTCGGTCCAGTCGTGATACAATGTTAATTGTTCAACTTATTTTGAGGCAAAGGGTTATCTAATAATATGTTTCCAACATTGTTAATGGGGGAGGTGGACACATACGTGAAAAATATCACTAAAATGTGCAGAGTCTCATTATTTTTGCACGCGATTGCAGCTTACTCTTTTGCATCACGTCCCAGTCGCGTCGATCTCGAGAGATCGACGGCTAGCGGCTAGAAATTTCATACCTTAGGTTCAGTGCATGCTATAAAGACAGAAATACCACCATTCGATTCAGATATAAAAGATCAACTAGTTCCAAACGATAGTTATAGTCATTATTAGCATTGTAACGATTTATGGGCCTTTGAAAGTCAAACGCGATCGTATTCTATCAAATTACGTAATTGTCTGAACAAAAATATAGACTATAGCCATACCTTTCGCCGAAAATAACTTCGGCCTTTTCGAACTTATTGTCTTTGTAATAGTCTTGTTAGAATCCCCAATAAAAACACTATTAAGAGTATTATTTGCAAGCCCGTATCTTCAAATCTGTATCTTTTATCAATATATTTGCATTTTTTATCAATATATTTCCATTTCTTGTCCGACTGTGAGCTCGAAGTGAGTTAATCCCAACCGGAAATACGACTGAAAACCGTCAAAACAATGCGACGCTTGTATCGTATGACCCTGCAAAGGCCAGAAATGGATTCGCAAGGTCAAATTGCACCTACACGCGTGAGTTTGACGTCATCCCGGCTACAGGAGCTTCTTATTGGCCAATTATTGCGCAATGTACGCAAGTGCGAGTAAAACCCGACATCTTGAAAAATTCTTTTTTTTTTTTTTTTTTTTAATATTTAATTTCAGGAAGCTTTCTCACAAAGTGATTTTTAGAAAGGTCCTGAACTAAATAAACTATTATACAAGAAAGACATGCATATACTACATAACTATGAAAAATATTTAAAAATTGTACGAGGGAGAGTTCCAAGATTGCTAAAAAAGTTTCTCTTAAATGTAGAAATACTAGTAGATAGTTTTGTCTTTCTGTCCAAGTTGTTCCAGTCTGTTATGGCCTGATAAGCGAGTCTTTGCTTTCCCCAATTCCTTGACACTTTAGGTGGCCTTAAATTGTCCTTATATCGCGTATTGTAGTTGTGTATTTCTCTGTTCGCTAGAAGTTCAAATCCACGTGAAGTATGATTATTTAGACACTTAAAAACAAATAAACATCTATGATACAATCTGCGTTGTTCAAGAGTGGTCCAGCCTAAAGTGTTTAACGCGTCTGTTGCCGATGAAAAATATGGTCTATCTAAAACAATCTTGGCGGCTTTGTTCTGGAGTATCTGAAGATTGTTCATTAACACTGTATTATTTTTGTCTCCCCATATAACATCCGCATAGTCAAAGATTGGGAGTACGAGACTGTTATAAAAAAGGATTCGTGCATTAAATGGTAGCAGATGTTTAATCCTACGAAGTAGACCTAGGCGTTGATTGACTTTAGCGGAAATGCGATCTATATGTTCTGACCAGGTGAAGTTGGCTGTGATGGTGACTCCTAAGTACTTGAAATTGCTGGCGTTGGAGACTTCAGTATTGTTGACAGAGACAGATATCGAAGATATATTACATAACTTCCTATCACTGCCTAATTCAAAAAAATAAAAAATTCAAAATAAATATTTTTATTTTTTTTTTTTAAATTTTCGCCCATACATACAGAAAAAATATATATATATGTATATATACGATATAGAATTACAGAAATAGGGCTAGAGGTCTACTAGAAACCAAACAAAGGCTTTTGATTAAGACCCCTAGGTTAAAAGTATTTAATTATTTACATTGATTGGTCATGATCAGAACTTAAAGTAAGTTTAATAGAAAAAGAAAAAAGAAGATGAGATTGAAGAATTTTTATAATGTTTCAAATAATGACAAACATACAAATAATGACAAACATACATATAATAAAATCTATGTTTCCGAATGCAACAGCAAGAAGTGGTTTTTTGAATTTTTTTTGAATGTGCAATAGGATTTTAAATTTTTTAAGTCAGTATTTAACTCATTCCAGATATTTACACCCTTATTTTGAAGTGAATGTTTGACAAAATTAGTTCTGGAGTATGATTTATGAAGTTTGGATGCGTTTCTTGTATTGTGTTCATGTATTTTGTTGTTAGTAACATAGTAATTGGTAAAGTATTTTGGTAAATTATCCAAGTAGTGATATCGAAACATGAATAAACTGATCAGAAAGTCATTAATTTTTTCAATGTTAAGAATCTTTGCTTCATTGAATAGTGGTTCAGAATGCTCAGAATATGACTTGAACATCATATTCAATGTATATTGAACATCATATTCAATGTCATGCGATTTTAATATTTTATAGTGTATATCAGTTGTATATAAAACTTGTTGACTCATGAGCCAGTACTATTAAACGTACTAGCGCAGTACCTGAAACATCAATTGAGTCGTTTCTTCGATTAAAATCTTCGATTTTGCCTTTTCGATGTCTTATGTTGCCGAATTATCGAAGTGGTATATTTTGCGTCGAATTTCTTGCGTTAAAATGACGGTAAGTTGCTTAGCAACTGTTGGCCGCCATCTTGGATCAGGCTTGGTTACAAGGCAAAGTCGAAAAAAGTGAGCCCAAAATATTATTCTGCGTGCGGCATGGCACCTTTTTTCCACTGCGCATGCGTTAGGTCCGCCATCTTCCTAGCAAGTAACCTGAGGTTCAGGCCCTAATTTGAAATAGGGCCTGACACAAAACCTGTCTAGACCGTGGGACGCCCACATGTTATTTTTAGACACAACATGCAATATGATTGACAAGTGTTGTAGTATGGTGGCCGAGCGTTGCCACTCGTTTTTTTTGTACATTTTACATTATTTTAAAGATTTTTTTACTTTTTATTTTTTTAATTAAAATGAAAAATAAAAATAAATTAAAATGAAATACAAAATAAATTAAAATGAAATACAAAATAAATTAAAATGAAATGCAAAATAATTTACAATTAAAATTAAAGTAAAAGTGAATTTCACCATGGCCGAGGGCTGCCACTACCAAAATATTCTTTATAATTTTTTTTTAATTAAAGTGAAAAATAAAAATAAATTAAAATGAAAAATAAAAATAAATTAAAATGAAAAATAAAAGTAAATTAAAATGAAATACAAAATACTGATTTACAATTAAAATTACAAAGTAAAAGTGAATTTCACCATGGCCGAGGGCTGCCACTACCATAATGCACAGCGACCCGAGAGAAATTCCCATGAGCCGAGCAGCGGCCGAGCGCTATCATAACATCCCATGAACCTTTGCCCGCGCGGAAAGCAACATGGCGGAGAAATGGCGAAAGTTCAAAGAAGATATGAAAAAAAAACGCTTGAGTGGGAAGAGCCAAAAAGGGAAAGATGTTTCCAAACGTGAAATAACTGTTCAAATGTTAAGCGCGGACGTGTCGGGCAAGGCCCAAAAGTATTCACGTATCGGCCCAAGGGAATTTGTCCAGTTATATGACGACGACGATGAAGATCTAGATCGATTTTATACAAAAGAAGAGATGACAGTTGAACGAGTGAAGGATGCATGCCTGAAACATTTTGAACCGAAGGTTGGAAACAATGTTGTATGTGATATTCTTGCCGGTGAGCAAGGACCTTCCTGCGCATCCTTGAAGCAAATACCTAATATGAATCTTATATACGTCAGATCCATAAACAAAAGCTCGACAGCAGATGCGCCTGTATTCGTTGATGATACTGACCCAGTTCATCCGCAAAGCACAACTGTAAAACGAAAGGGCCCTAACTCTGTTCCAAGTCCAAAAAAAGCTAAAATCTCAACACCAATGCCCAAGAGTCTCTCGGTAACCCATATGTTGAAACTAGGTAAACTTATAAACAAGTCTACCACTACCATCCACTTGTATGGATTTAATTTGGCAGATATGAGCTGGTCGTCTTCACCAAGGGCAGTTGAATTTAGTGTTTCAGAAGATGTGCTCGGAGAAGGTGCATTCCGAAAAGCTTATAAAGCAGAATCAAAAGATGAGAGCTTTGCTGGTTCATGGGTAGTCAAAGAATATAATGAAAATGCATTGGATGTCATTGCTGAGACCAATCAAACTCTCGAAACCCATACAAAGAAGGTTGTACAAATGCACAGCTTAGCCCAGAACTTTGCAAGCCAACTGAAGACAAGTGTTGAGCAAAATGGCATGCAAGAATCTTTTGGTGATTGTTTTCATTATGGGAGTGTCTACTTAGGAAAAAAAGGTGACGAATTTGTCACAGTTGAAGAGTTTGTAGATGGAGAGTTTAGTAAGTATATAAACAATGATGGCACATTGTGCAAGAATGTCAACGAAGTTATATTACAGAAAGCAGAGTGTCTTTCTCATTTTTCTTTTGAAAAATCCAACAATCAGGTAATGGTGTTAGATATCCAAGGATGTGGCTACTCCCTTGTAGACCCAGAAGTTGCATCATCTTCCCTCTTTGATGAAAATAAAGAATTACTTTTTACCACAGGGAATTTGTCATTTGAAGCAATTGCAAAATTTAAACTCATTCATAGATGTAATGAGTACTGTGAGCTTCTGAAGCTTAAAGTACTTGTATAGAAAGAATACACAAACTGCTGTTAGGGGAAAGTAATGATGTATCTTTAAAACATTGTTCTTATTTCAGTTTGGTGTATAACAAGGACACCTAAAACTTGATATTATCGACATTATCTGTTAGTTACTCTTAGAAGATTCATTAATGTCTTTTAAGAACATATCAGACTTTAAATCGCATCCCTAGTAATGTGGTAGCAAAGAGTGACTGGGCAAGCATCTGTTTAACACCAGGTTATAATAAAAAAACTTTTATGAACACATTGGGCAATTTAATTCAAGTCTTAAATTAACAGTTGGAAAACATAGTAGGTCCAATGTCTTTTACCACTTTTGGTGACTAGTGTTTGCAGTAAAGATTGATCACCATTTATGTTTTTGCTTGCTACACTGGTTTAAATAAATTATTACAAAGCCTATTTGAATTGTAATCAAACCCCAATGTTTCGACACTCCAGTCTAGTGTCTTCATCAGGGGTAATCTAAAATTGCAATGTAGCTTCTTACATACCCAAAGGATGACATCACCTGCCAATGAGATGCATGTATTCCTCTGGTAAATAGGCACTGTCATCCCTATTCAAAGGATGATTACTCATTTATATGCCACACTAGTCAAAGACTATGCCTAGAAGCATGGCATATAAATATGAGTAATCATGCTTTGAATAGGGATGACGGTGCCTATTTACCAGAGGGATACATGCATCTCATTGGCAGGTGACGTCATCCCTTGGGTATTTAAGAAGCCAACGATTGTAACTTCAGATCACCCCTGAAGACACTAGACTGGAGTGTCGAAATGTTGGGTCTTGATTACAATTCGACTGGGCTTTGTAATAATTTATTTAAACCGGAGTAGCAAGCGAGAACATGGTTGATATACCTGGTTGCAGTGAACGAACAAACTTTGATCACCATTTGTTTTTCTTTCCATCTATCCAGGATTGTTTTTGTTTAAACTTTACATGAGAACAACAAACATCAAATCAATTTTCAGAAGTTATTGAACTACTTTAAATTAAGAACTTAACCAGACTGGTTGCTACCATGTTTCTAAGGATTTGGTTTAAATCTGTATTTACAAAATGAATTTAAATTTAGTTTACATCTATATGTAGCATCTACAATGTTGTGTTAAAGTTTTCTTTGAGATATATGAATGCAGATGCACAATCTTTAGGTTCTATTTTTTCTGTTTTTGGTAGAAGCGATTCACATCTTCTAAATGAGGCATCAAGGAAGTCATCTTCCATATCTTGATTGCACAGACATGCATCTATAGACATCTATTATAAAGAACATTAAAATTGACATGTTAAAATTAACTATTATAATGTTGTTTCAAGTATAAGTATGCATCTTGGCATTCATTTGGTTTGATTGTGTCATGATCAGGGATCAGTCTTTCACATTCTGCTCTAACATTTGGCTCCAAATAGTCATCTGGTACTTGCAAAATGCCAGATAGGGTAGCTGCCTCCTTCAGCTGTTCTTCAGTTACTTTTAGGCCTGTAAAATAAGGTACTATGTAAAGGTTACAGAATGGTCATATGTGCTCCATACAAGGACGGATTTTCTGGGGGATGTGCACCCCCCAAAAAAAATTTCCACCCCCACCCCCCCTGAGAAATTGTGCACCACGTCCCTGCCAAAATTTAAAAGCATTAAATTAAACTACCGTTAAGTAAGATAGAAATATTAAAATCAACATGTTTCTATATATGCTTTTTTGCAGCATATTAACGTAAAAGTAAAACACACTTGACTTACAAAAAATAAGTTCACGTGCTCATCGGCACCACGCTTTCGCACATTGACAATGGATTCAGACAGGTTTGACAGGTGTACATAAACCTGTCAGATTTTCCAAAGAAAGAAAATCTATAACCTTCCATGTAATAATGTATATAACTAATTTAAAGGATATTCTGTTTCATAAAATGGATGTTATCTAATCTATTATTGAAATTTGATTATGGACTACTGAGCGTATTTAGACCCACTGATCATTGCTTTGGCAATTGAGAATCAGGAAATGATTGGGAAGCATTCACGCTCCTGCAGTTTGGTTTTTAGTTCGTCGTTAGAGTTGGATTGAAAGCGTGTAGATCTAAATCGATGTGTCAGCAATTAGCAGATCCTATATTTTTATCACTAGGCACTAGCTAATACACTTCAGAAAAGGTTCAATTCATTGTTTGAGCTGCGTATTAGTAAAAAATTCACTTAAAAACATGCATTTTCTAATCATTAATAAAATTAATT